CCCTCACTCATCAACTATGAAGTTGCTTTCCTCTCGCGCCACCCCGCCCTTCAGGAGGCCGTTTACTTTTCGCCACATCATGGAAGAGCAGCACACTTGACATTGTGATAGTGTGCCCGCTTAGCGTGATTCAGACGGTAAAGCCGACGGCTTTAGCTCCGTCCCCACCGGCTCAAGTAGCTCAGGGCCTAGCAACAAAGCGGCGAAGACAGAGTGGTGAAGGTTGGCATCCGCCAGCTCTGACGACTATGACTTCACTGAACACAGCAGTGAGGCTAGCAGCTCTGGCTGCAACAATCCCAGCAGCTCCAGGAACCCGAGCTTCAGCTCCAGCCTCTGTAATGTCTTGGTATAGTTTTTTTTTTTAATCCCTTCTAGAATAAATTCAAACATCTTGTTTCCTTGAAAATTACAGGGTATCTATACTTTTTTATTATCCTTAGGTATCATGCATTGCCATGCTGGGCATCCAAATAATTAAAGCTTTATTGTAATTAAAACTATCATTTCTTTGATTGTGTCCTCTAAATATTTTCTATGGCGATCTATTCGATAATTCAAAAAAAAGTATTTCTTCGCATCGTGATTAGCAACTTACCTAACGCATGACTAAATTTTGGTTAGTTTTGAAAGCTCTAGCATTCTTTTTGTTTCATTTGCTAAAAAACTCAGTCCTGATTCTTTCAGTAATATGTCCAGTTCAAACAGTCTTGGGTAGGGGTGCACTCAGGTCCGGATACTCTACTCGGATACGATGCTTATCATATCCATATCCGCTTACCCATCTCGGTTACGGATACGGATACAGATATACCTCAGTAAGGAAAATTCATAACCATATCCGCTAAAATTGAATACGGTTACGGATATACATGCGGATATATGAGCAAATATGCATGCGGATATAAAACGGATATGAGAAAACTAGATAGTATGAAGAAAAACATAGTCCATGTGATACAAAAGAGTTCGTTAATATGTTCATTATAATTGAAAAGTTAAGATTAGACATCTTGATCATCAAAATTAATCACAAACTCATAATTAATCTAAGAATTGAAACTATCGTAAGAGTATGACTAATATGTATTCGGATATTTCGGATACGGATACAGATATTTCACTACAAAACCATATCCATAACCATATCCTATCGGTCATAGATTTGAGTAACCATATCCATATCCTAACGGATACGGTTACGGATATTTCCCCAGATACGGATACGGTCTAGCACCCCTAGTCATGGGTACTGTTTAACAAAATATATACTTCATTGTTATTCCATATCCGTGATTTTTTCAATCGGTATCCGTGATTATTAAGCCTGGTGAGTGACGTTCATGGAGAAATTAAAAGAACAACTGCAATCATCCACTTCTACAAGTCGTTTCCTGAAAGACGACGATTTCCAATACTTGAAATCTTCGACGTTATATCTGAATTCAAGTTGGTAGTTCTGCTTGTTTACTTGGTGATGCATCCGCTCCAACTCTTGACGCCATCTCCTCTGATGAGCTGACTCTTTCACCTGCTGTCTGCTCATTCATTCTATGAACATCATTAATTAGGATGACTCGGAAAAGATTTCCAACCACAACTCAAAGGAGATTTCATCTTAATTTGTATATCGTTTGTGTATTTAATCGTCTTTGACAAAAAGGAAAATAACCAAACATCAAATCTTCACCTGTTCCTGTCGTACTGTGATGGTGTCAAAATGGTTGGAAGGAGATCTCCCTAGTTGGTCAGGGGTTCAAATCCCCGCTTCCGCATTCACCTGGTTTCTGTGGGATTAAGGGTGGGTACAGAAACCCGGGGTTTTACCGGTCAGTTAACCCATCCCGTTGCATGCTCACTGGTTCGAGGCCTTTAGGGTCTCACGTTGATCGCCCGTTCACGCGGGGATGAGCCCCTGGTAGCAAGGGTAGCTCCTTTCAGAAGGTGGGAACATGAGGGATTCGAATCAGGGCCGCTGGCGGACTCCAAAGGAGTTATTGTAGGGAGAGCCGACCGGGTTTTCCCTTGTCACCAAAAAAAATGGTTGGAAGGCTTCTCTGTATATATACAACGACGAGGCACAATATATAACAGAAATAAAAGATACATATTAGAATCATGTTAAGATTTCTACGGCTCGTATAAAAGATTCACCTCCCTCTTAGTAGGGTTAACGCTGTTTGAGGGTTCTTCTGATAAAATCTTAGAGTTAAAAGGGTGTTTTCTAATAACCCCCGGGGTTTCTAATATTTTGAGAGTCGTGTGGGGTTATCTGATAATCTTTAAAAGTTAAAAACGGGTTTTCTGAAATTAATTTAGCCTGAATTAAAACACCAGTTGAGACAAGTGTTGATTGTTGCAACTATATTTTTGTGCCAGAAGAGTTACCCCTTGGTGCAGTAGATATTGCAGTAACTTTGTGAGGAAGACGTGTACGTTGTTCATCCTTTGATTCTCATTTTGTATTAATTAATTTCTTGCTATATTATCATAATCATCACTTTCATGGTAGCTGATCGATCTACTGGCAAACAAAGATTGTGGAGCTTCAGCTTTCTAGTTCATCACTCAGACAAAGAATTGGTGAAACAAATTGAGATATCTACCGTATCAATATCAAGAAAGTTCACATGCATGTTATTAGTTATTTGTGTTCAGTAAACTGAGATGAGTTCATACCTAAACACGGAACTGTCCTTGGTGACAAAATATTTGCATTAATTTCTTTTAAAATATCCAAATTCGAACTTTGAATTCGAATTCGAGCATGAAAGTTCTGCCTTATATTCATGAGAACTTATCAAGTACGAAAAGTTTTTATGATCTTTTCCATGGAAACCTCTGGTCCAGCCATGACTAAAGGCTAAGCATAAGTCTGAAATGACCATTTTGTCCATGATTTGACCCCTAACTTATATATATATATATTCCTTTATACAAATGGCAGAACCCAATATTCACTATTCGTACTACAATAAAATGCTACAGTAACATTTACTATAACATTATTACTGCAACAAACATGAAACTGAATACTATAGCATTTTTTGAAAAAAAATCATTGTATCACACGTGAATACTACAACAATTTTTTAAACTGTAGCAACGCAAAAAATTTTTAAAATATTGCTGTAACATTTAAAATTGGGATTACTGTAGCAGGGAAAAAATGATATGTCGTGCTTTGCACGGTGTTCACAACTAGTATGTGAAATGACAAAAAAAAAAAAGGAGGGAAAAGGAGCAACTGAATGGTGATAAATGAAGTAAAGAAAATGGAGTATAATGATATTCGAAATAATGGAGTTGAGGCTGGGATAATAGAGATGGGAGGAAAATGAAAATTATCTGCTTAAGTATTCTACTAACGTATTGTAGTATTTAAAAAAACAACAACAACAACGTTTGACTGCATGTTTTCAAATCTTTGATCGTATGAGGCTTAAATTTTTATTGTGTATAAAAATATGTCAAGCTGAAGTAAGTGAATCTCGTTCAAAATAATCAAATTACGGATTTTGGTGGGTCAAAACAAATCCATATGGGGCCGTTTGGTTGGTTTCCTAAAAATCAAGAAAAGGAAATCGGTACAAGGAAATCAATAAAATAATATTTTTACCCATTTCCATCCCTAAAACTCACCCACAACATCTAATAAAATATTATTTTTATCTTCCAACTCATCTCATTTCATCTCCTTTCTTACATTTAAAAATAAACCAAACACAAGAAATGTGTCACATCATCCAACTCATCACAACTCATCTTATCCCATTTTTAAAAATCACACACATCATCCAATAATATTGTGACAACTCATCTCATCTCATTAAACATTCATTTCCATCCATTTCCTCAAAAAAAAACAAGAAATTGGTTTCCTTAAGTACGTGTCACATCATCCAATAATATACCTCCAACTCATCTCATCTCATCTATTTTCCTATTTTTAAAAACGAACCAAACACAAACAACCTCAAAACATCATCCAATAATACACCTCCAATTCATTTCCTTATTTTTTTAACCAACCAAACAACCTCAAAACAATTTTTTTTTAAAATCACTCACATCATCCAATAATAAGTTGACAACTCATCTCATCTTATCTCCTATTCTATAATTTCTTTCTTTTTTAAACCAACCAAACAACCTCAAAACAAATATTATAGGAAATAGGTTTCCTATTCTTTGATTTCCCCAAAAAAATGGCCAAACGAACAGCCCCAGAGCTCACTTTCAGATAAAAGAAAAGGAAGAAATTGACCTACTACCATAGACTTGAATGAGATACTTAATCTGCCTCGTGTGCGTAGCACATGGAGAAGAAAAGGGTAAATTACACTAAATCCCACTAACTTTCTGCATTTTGCAGTAAACCCCAATAACTTTCAAAAGCACACTAACACAACCCCCCACCCCACCCCACCCCACGCCAACAAAAAAGAAAAAAAAAACTTTCAAAAGTCACACTAACCCCCCAAATAACCTTCATCTTTAATTTCCCAAAGCATTCAATATAATCTTCTTATTATGAGATATTGGAGGAGATTGAACTCTTCCATCAAATGAACCGGCTATAATCCTAGCTGTTAATGGACATGGATGTTCGGTGTTCCACGATCATACAACCGACATAAACAAAGTTTGTGGTGGAGATATGTAATGCGTATTGTTAATCGCCTTAAATTTGTAATACAATTTTTATATTCATGTTGTGATATAGATTATAATCTGAAATTTTGTGTTCATGTGTAATATAGATTATAATTTCATAAATCAAATCTGTTTTGAGCCTCAGGTTTGGCTCACTAACTTGAGCAAATTATAATTTCATAGTTCGATTCAACGTGTATTTTTCTCCTATACCTGAGATGGCGAGGTAGTGGGGGGAGTGTAATTTTCTCCTATAAGCTTGCAGAAAGGGGAAGTTGCCAATGACTTGTAATGCAAACTGCCTTCAAATATGAAGATAGAAATAAATAAGGCTTACATCTTTAAAAAAAAAAACTTGCACAAGTGACGAGCAAAGATGTAGAGTACAAATGCATCCTCCTCCTCATATAAATATAAGTAGAACTCGAGCTACAAAAAATTAGAATGAGATCTTGATAAATACAATTACATGAAGAGCAAAGATGTAGAGTACAAATGCAGATCTCAGAAGCATGAGCCTCTGTTGGCCTTCTGTTCTTCCTCCAGCATAGGATCCATGTCTTCGAGACGACGAGGCCTCCAAGGAGTAATCCATAGTTCCTAATGATAATGCCGAGCTTCTCCCAAAGCGGTTTCTTCTAGCAGTGCTCATATCACTGGTTCCGTCATCAATCCTCCTCCTTAATCCATTTAATCTCTCTACTTCTCTCTCTTTGGCACGGATCTCCATGATTAGGCCTTCCGCTTGTGCCTAAAAAGGAAATGAAAAAGGAAATAAATGAACACGTAAAATGGAGAAGACACGATGGGTATTGTCATGGAACACTGACCTGTTTTGCTGTCAGTTGTTCAACCAGGCTATGAAGCTGTTTTTCCAACAATTTCTCCCTTTGAGCTGCGTATGATAGAAACAACACGTCAGTTTTGACGCTGCATAACTTCACTTTTGCGGTTAATGTCAGGAGATGGAAAAGGGAAAATTGACGAATAGAACAAACAGGCAGCATATCTCCATCACATTCAGTTGGAAAATCATCAAAAAAAAAAAAAATGAAAGTCAAAAATGGTCTACATATATTCTCCAGCTTCTGTTCTTTTTCAAGTAATTTCACTAACCAAAGAAAGGAAAAGTGCATTCACGCCCAACATCGTTTCCCTCAATTTTCTAGATTCAAAACATTTCCTAAATGTTTATAATATTAATGAGTATTACATGATAACAAAAAACACGGCCCTGCATACATCACCTACCATTGCAACTGAATCCCTCCTTTTTGAAGCAAGACTATGGTAGGATGACAGAATTTATATAGTGGTTTTGTCAATCTTACCATAGTATATAGCATCATAAAAACAACAACTAAGGACAATCAGAAAGTGATTGCTGTTGCAAGAGAGAGTTTTTTTAATGATACACACCACATGTAATCCTAAGAGTATATGCAAATTCAAACAACCTAGCTCTGCATATGAAACTTAAAAAAGCTACCGAAGGAAAAAAAAAAAAACCCTTCGCATATGCTCTTGCTCCTTGGTTCTAAAGTATCCCTCTTCTCACTCTATATGAACCAAGGAAAAAAATAATAAAAGAAATATGATGCCCATTTCACCCTTCCCCAAAATCATGTAGCTATTTGGGCAAAAGAATTTTTCTGAAGGTCGACCTTTCCTATAAGTGATGAATTTCCTATAAGTGATGAACGATGCATTTTATGAATACAAGTTTGTATTAGTCTAGTACAAAACGAAAAAGGTGAAAAGGTGACCATGCTGACAGACCTGGAGAAGGTTGTTTGATTGATTCCTCTTGAACAGCTGACCATTCTTCCTCCAATCTTTGGATCCTCTCTTCCATTGAACTCTGGCAACAACGACGAGTAAACATTAGCTATTACTAGACATTCTGTTTCAATATTGCAGAAAACTAGGATGCAACAAACCAGCTCCTTCTTCTTGTCGTCCAACTCTTCCATTTTAACATATTTTGAAGCTTCATTCTCTGGATGAAAATTTTCTGTACTCTTGGAACTGCCTGTCTGTACACTTGATTGACTAGACTCCAATGTGGCTAGTTCCATTTCCAACTCAACCTTTGAATTCCTTTCAATCAATTCCATTTGCTGCTAACAAGATCAAACAATTCATTACTTACAGCATCAGCTTTTTGCATGGTTTAAAAAGTATAGAAAATAACAAGATACCCCAATGCTATATAAGCTTAACCACCACAAGGCTTAAAAGAGATGGCTACGCAACATGTGGGTGTTAAAAAGACTACATGATCATCTATATATCATTTTGTTTTATGTTCGTTTATTATCTTCGGCACTTAGTTTGTACCAACTGAAATATTAAATCAAATAGGAAATGACAGAATTGTTTCTGAACAAGGACGTCATTTTCTTCATCTTTTACTCTTACATGTTTTCCTTCTACTACCCATAACCTCGTCACATATTTGTCACTCCTTCCCTTCCCTTGTTTCCCTCAAGGGGTCCATGTAGATTCCTTTCTTCACAGTGGAACTTTTATATGCATATGTTTTCAGCAATTAAGGGCTCTCAAAGTTGAAAATGAATTGTAGAGAAGAAGTTGAATGTACATTGGTATAGAGTGATTGTGGTGCTTAAATTGTAATATGAAATTCCGTCTCACGGTATCCTTGGTTAAACTTTTTGATCTTTAATTCTTACTATTCTCAAACAATGTAGGCAAAATGCACCATGCGTGTTCTGATTCTGAAGCTCATTAGCTTCTTGCTTGTCCCTTAGTAAAGAATGTGCAGATGCCTTACAAATCTTATGCTATTGAAGTCTTTTCTTGCTTGGACAAGAGAAAACAAATGCTCTTACAGCTATGAAAGGTCTGGTTAAGACAACATATCCTCTCAATAAATCAAATATGATGTGCTTATTGTCCTAAAAATCAATGTTCATATTAATGCACACCAATGCGTTCACTCTTACCTATTTACTAAATTCCTATCAAAGTTATGAAAAGAAATAGAAAGAAAAAAATCAAGACTAAAGCAACAAAATATTATGTTTAAAAAAAATCATCTGCAAAAAGTTTCAACAAAATTAAAGTAAGCGAAAAAGCATTTTCTGATCTACAATATGTCTAAAAGTGATAATACCGCATGGCATATGTTCATACATAAACCTGTTTCAACATTTTTTCACCAGATAACTAGGAAAACCGATATTTCTATTAACCTCAACTGATAGTATTATAACTTCAGAAAAGGAGAAAGCGGTTGGAACAGAAGTTGTAATTCCTCACCTTTAGTTTGGCCTCAAGCAAATCGGCTTCCTGCAGCTTTTCCTGAATTTTCTTTTGGCAATTTGATATAGCCTTTTCATATGCAGAATTCTCTTCTTGCAGGGTAACCTCTCTCAGTTGCGCCTAGGCAAAGGACCAAAATTAACTCAAATTAATGCATGAAAAGGCACACTGAAGAAGAAGAAGAAAAAGATGAGCAATCAACTTTATGAGACTTTGAAGAAAACTTTTGGACAGAAGCACAAGCTTTACCCGTTTACCATGAAAATATCATTTATTATAGTAAGGCTACAAGGTGCAGACAACTGGAGCGCACAAGATCCGCACAAGTTAAAACATGTTGGAGCTGCTCTGACATCCTGACCCAGCCAACTATATTCAAATTTCGACTCTGACACAAAAGATTGCTTTGAGATAAATAAAACTTCCTAATTGGCTATTTCCAAGTGCTAAACGCTAAGTCGCTAACATCTGATGGATGTGTCTGTTTAAACTTGTAACTATACTTGACACATATCCTAAATTCATGTTGACAACAATTCGTCAAACTAAAAGGGCCATCTTTGGGTGGACTATTTGTTAAGAAAACCACTCCATGCTAGCAGTGGGGACTTGACATTACCCTTTGCCAATGTTTGCCTTTTTTTCTTTTTTGTTTTGAACAAGAAACAGGGACTTCCCATAGTCAAAACCACACCTTGCCAACTGGGCGGGCTTCAGTTGCTTCGCAATATTGTTATTATAAAAGAAATAACAGACTTTCAGTGACACTGCATTTCAAGCTGAAGGACAATGGATTTCCGCCAAGAGAGAGAGAGAGAGAGAGAGAGAGATCAGTTGCTTCGCAATATTGTTATTGTAAAAGAAATAACAGACCTTCAGTGACACTGCATTTCAAGCTGAAGGACAATGGATTTCCGCCGAGAGAGAGAGAGAGAGAGAGAGAGAGATCAGTTGCTTCGCAATATTGTTATTGTAAAAGAAATAACAGACCTTCAGTGACACTGCATTTCAAGCTGAAGGACAATGGATGATGTTATTTTCTATCAAAACAAGGAGAGAGAGAGGTCTGCTGTTATTTTCTATCAAAACAAGGAGAGAGAGAGGTCTGCTGTTATTTTCTATCAAAACAAGGAGAGAGAGAGGTCTGCTGTTATTTTCTATCAAAACAAGGAGAGAGAGAGGTCTGAGAGAGAGAGAGAGAGAGAGAGAGAGAGAGAGGGGTCTGATGTTATTTTCTATCAAAACAAGGAGAGAGAGAGGTCTGCTGTTATTTTCTATCAAAACAAGGAATTTTCGCCTCTTAAAATAGAGACTCCTGTACTTGCTTTTGATCTTTGACATGTCCGTACTTGTTCCCTTCGCATTGGAAAAACTGTGTCTTCAACTCCTTAGCTTATCCACTAGCTAAGTTGTTCCTCATCTTGGTGGGACAGGAAGAGGACTCCAACACTCATTCACTTGCTATCATGTTGCCATCGCATGATATAGTCCCCCCCACCCCACCCCCCTTCTTATTCTGCTAGAATCCTCCCATGTTAATAAGCAAAAGGGGATATGGTCTAAGGTGAGTCTCCTAACATCTTCCATAAACTAGTGAAGAATGTGTCTAATAATCTGTTCGATGTCTTCTGAA